TATTTGACAGTTTAAATATAAGATTTTTTAAGTACATATGTATACTATTATGATAAAATAATTTGTTTATTGACTCTAGTATTTTACATGTATTATAATATTTGAAATAAGGCTACATTTGGTAAAATCATAATCAGCAACAATAAATATTATTTCTTTAACCATAATTACTGATTTTTCACATTCTATAGTAGCTACTAGATGATTTAGCTTTCTAACCTTATATTATACTTATTATCTAAAAAAAATAAATTTATATACTCTCTATATTTATCCATCATTTCTTTTTTATATCAAAATAATATTGATATATAGTGAAAATCAGAATGATCTATACGTAAATAATGTATCTGAATCATATATTTAATATCTAATCTTTTAGTATAATACTCTAATACCTTTATAGTTTATTATTAGGACTAAATTATAACTATTATTTTGATGAAATTAAAGAATTAGAAGAACAAATCTTTTTAACCTGATCTATTAAATCTTATACTGATATAATATGTAATAAGTATATAACTATTCTATGTAATCTATTATCAACTGTCAAATATTCTTTAGATATTGTTTAACATAATTTCAAATTCAGTATATTGTTCAGGTTTACATTTATTTTAATTATGTTAATCAACTATTATTTTATCATTTCTATTAATTAAAGTTATTTGTATACAGCATAATTTTCTTTTCTGTTATATTCTAACTGAATTAGAATTATCAGTTAGTTCTTGATATAAAGTATAGATCTAATGATTTTTAGTTAGTATTTTTAAAATAAAATTAGCTTTTTTTTTTAAATTATATACATATAAATCAAATGTAATAAACTGGTATTTTACTTTTAATTGATTGCAAATTGTATAAGATTTACTTATTGCTTAAGTTTTCATTAACATGTCACAGAAAGTATGTATTAAATGCATTATTTCTAAATAAGTAATAAAAATACTAAATTTATAACCAAAATTTTTAGGCAATTATAAATAAACATATATTTTTTACTAAATAATATTATAGTTAATATAAATAATTTATTTGATTTTAATTAATAATTTTACTTTATTTACCTTAGTTTTGAAAGTACAAATTGTTCAATATCTAAAGTTTTCCAATAAGGTAAAGTAAAAAATTTATTGTTTAAACTATTATAATTATATTTAGTTTAGGAATTTAGAAAAAAACTAGTACCATTGTAAACTTTAATGCTAATAGAATTATCTATTGATCTAATTGGATTTTTTAATTGATAATTTCTGCTTATTTTAATATTTTGTTCATGCAAATATTTAGAATATTTCATTAAACATTTGGAAAACTTTTATAATAGAAGATATAACCAAGTAAATTAAAACTTATTTATCCATAGCATATTTAGATATCTAAAGAGCAAATTTGTATGCCTATTAATACAATCATAATCAAACTTTAACCTAGCATTCTTATAATTTGATGGATCTGATCTATCAAAAAATTTCTTAATTTCTTTAAGAGTTTATTGTTCTTTCTTTTATCTTTTCAACACTACAAGTATTTATATACCATATAGCATTTAATAAATTATTTACCTTTTGATTCTACAGCTAATCTACTATTTCAACCTCTGCTATTTTTTTCATCTATATTATATCTTGACATAATAAATCTTTTTTTGTTTGGCTTTTTTGGTAATTGAAAAGAAGGTAATGAAATTAGAGATAAGTACTCTAAATGCATTTTTTTTATTTGTATTAGTGGATGATAGTTTTCTGGAATTTGTAATTCAGATAAAACAAATTTTCCAAATATTTGTAAAATTTCATTGAATATTAACATTAACAAATTCATTTTTTAATGAATATTCTACTTTTGCTTTGAATAGAAGATCATAATAATTTTTATTAATAAAAACTTCTGATAAAATATCTTCAGTAGCCAGTTAACGAAAAAATTCATATAATGAGATGTTACCAACAATAGGATGTATTTATCAGTTAAGTATTTCTTTTCTATCACTTAATATAACTTTAACGCTTACAGAAGGCATTTTATTCTTAAAAAAAAGATTTTATTAGCATTTTAGATTATGCTAATCCAATTATAGTTTAAGGGGTTTTTTTTTGTATCTAATCGATCTAAATCATCAGATAAAGGAAAAACTTTATCATTTTTTAGTAAATTTTTTCCCAGATCCCCGGGTAGGAAAAAATTTTGTTTTTTTTAACCAATCAAATTTCAGAAATCGGGTAAATTTTTTTTTTTTCCTAATATTAAATTTATTTTTATTTTATAAACTAATAAATATTTTTATATATTTTTTGGCTTAAAAAAGTTAGGTCATATGGCTATGGCCAAATGGCCAAGGGTCAACACTGTATTAGGTAAATCGTAAACATGATCATTAAATAACTACGTGATTCCTTTGAATTAAATTCATTTTCTATATAACTTTCAACCTAGCACTAAAATTTAAAATAAACTTAAAATAATGGTACATAGAAATTGTTTGTTCGAATGTTTTTATATTTGATAACATTGTAATTTCTAACCATTTTCCTTTCATAATTTATAAGCCGAAATCCGACTATCCTCTTCCTCCTAATGTAGTATGTCTTCGTGAAACTAACCAATTAGAAGCCTTGTTAACCATGATTCGAGACAAAACAACAAATCGTGGTGACTTTATATTCTATTCGGATAGAATTATTAGGTTACTTGTGGAAGAAGGTCTCTTTTTTTTTTAAAAAAAAAACATATATATATATTTTTTGTCCTAAATTTACATATAATGTAATTTTTCTTTTGATATTTAGGGTTAAATCATTTACCTGTGGTGGAAAAAACTGTTGTCACCCCAACAAGTAATTTGTCAATAGGGGATGATTTTTTTTTCTTTTTTGAATTAGTTTACTTTATTGACGTCTATTAAATAATTACTTAGGTAATGAATTCAAAGGTGTTGGTTTCAAGGGCAAAATTTGTGGTGTTTCTATTATGCGTGCAGGTGAAGCTATGGAACAAGGCTTACGCGATTGTTGCAGGTTAGGAATAATTTTCTTTGATATTTGTAGATTTGATTTTTTTCATTAGTTTGATTTTTTGTTCAAATTTAGGAGTGTAAGGATCGGAAAGATTTTGATACAACGTGATGAAGAGACGGCACAACCCAAGGTAATTAATTTTTTTACATGAAACCTTTTTTTTTATATGGAATCTGGAAATACCAATTCCTTTTTTTTATTTTATATAAATTTATAATACATTAGCTTTATTATGCCAAATTACCTCCGGATATAAAAAGTCGATATGTTCTTTTGTTAGATCCAATGCTTGGTATGTATTAACACATATATGTGTCTTATCTTTTAAAATAAATAACTAAATTGAAACTATTTTATTTAGCTACTGGTGGATCTGCTATTAAAGCCATAGAAGTATTATTATCTCATGGAGTAAAAGAAGATAAAATATTATTTTTGAACTTAATTGCTGCTCCTGAGGGTATTGATGCTGTTACGAAAAAATATTCCCAACTTAAACTTATAACGGCCTGTATCGATAAAGGATTGGATGAGAAGAAATATATTATACCTGGTTTAGGTGATTTTGGTAAGGAAAATTTACAAAGTTTTTAAAACATTAGATTGAATATTTAAAACTAATTAAATTATGTTTTAATAGGTGATAGATATTTTACACTTCCCTAAAATGTAATAATTTTCTGAAAAAGAAATATTTAAATGTATGAGGATATATAATTTGGTCCTTATTATTAGGTTACAGTATCTACTTACGACTTTATAAAATACAAGCTAAAATGGTTTTTGCTTATTAAAAAATTTATTTAAAGTAAAAAATATTTGATATAGCCTATCCTAACCCTATTACTTATGTCCAATAAATCATGAAGTCGCGTGATCATACTTTTTGTTGCTAAATTTTGATGCTGAATTTTGATTGGCTAACTTATCGTTATATATAAATCGAATTGAAAGATGATTGGTCCAAGTTTCCAATAATCCAAAGGCCACTTCTCTTGAATCTGATCGTTTTGTATTAGAACTTAAAGATTAATTCGCGTATATAGGAGAATAAAAAGTATTTGATGGCCGATAAATTTGAAAAACTTTCTTCGGGACCGCATACTCCTTCCGATGATATGAACGATCCAATCAATTCAACACTAGATTCTTTAACAGCTGCCGATGATCTGGATAACCACGAAGAACTTTACGAAGACGATCGTAGACGTAATAGAGTGGATGACGAGGAATATAGAACTCGGCGAAGGTATTAATCGAGAAGTTTTAATACTTCCAGTTTTGGAATTTTTTTAGAACGTACTTATAAACCTATTGGGTTATCCCGGTCATTATATTTTAAGAGTAACTACTAGTAGATCTCAATCACCACATCGACGTTCCAGATCTCCTCGACGCTCTAGGTCACCTCGTCGAGAAAGAACACGCTCACCGCGTACACCGCCAGCAAGAGAACCATATACAGATTCGTATCGTCCAATACCACGTCGTCCATCATATAATGATCATTATGAATCAGAAAGAGAACGTAGAGAGAGAGAACTTGAAAGAGAAAGGCATAATAATCATACTAGAGAACCTCATCGTTCTGAAAGGGAACGGGATAGAAGAGAAAGAAGTCATTCAAGAGACAGACATATTATTCGTAACGCTAATTTTAGACCTGATAGAACTTATGGTCAAAGATTATCAGCAAGAGAGTCGGCAGGTAAGTTGAAAAATTTTTCATCATCATCATCAAAGAATTCGATCCAAGGACGCATTAGTATAAAGAGATCATCATCATCCTCATTATCCTCGTCATCAAAACATTTCTCACAAGGTTTGACATAGATTTTAACTATATGTTTATTTTATTACGTGATAATCATATTATAAATACGTTATATTTTCATTTTGTATTTTTGGAAGCTATAAATGCTTCTCAGAGATCACAAAAGGAATGCCGTGTTTATGTTGGTAATTTAGCGTATGAAGTAAAATGGGGACAATTAAAGGATTTTATGCGTCAAGGTTCATGATAATATATTTTATTCTTTGTTGAGATTTAAAAGGTTTCATAATTAGGAGTTATTAATCGTAATAATTCATATATTAGCGGGTGAAGTTGTATTTGCCGACGTATTAATGCAACCTAATGGCATGTCAAAAGTAATGAATAATTCTCTCGTTTCTTATCATTTGTCATTTATATTATATTATGTTATAATTAATTAAACTATTGTTAATTTATTTAATTTATTTCCGTAGGGCTGTGGGTGAGTCCATAAAATTTATCATTCAATATCTACTTTCTAGGGAGAATAACTCTTTCAAACGAGTGACTAACGCATGAACAATTTTGTTCATTTATTTTTAGAGTTGTTGAATATCGTACACCTGAAGAAGCTAGACGAGCTATTCAAACACTTAACGATACACATTTACTGGGAAGGCCTGTATTTATTAGAGAGGTACTCGTTTGTAATGATAATTCATTCATTTTTGTGTGGATTGCATTTAAACATTCTTGTTATTTAGGATCGTGAGTCAGAGGCTAAATTCGGTACAGGTTTAAATATTAGACCTGAAAAATCTGTTGGATTTCCCCCTGCTGGAAATCATCACCATCATCCAAATATATCCAGTAATGCAGGAAGACAAATCTATGTAGGAAATGTAAGTGGAAAACTATTGTTGAAAAGAATAAATAATTTTGTTCTTTTGTTTCATTTGAATTTATATATTTTTTCATACATATTATTTTTAAGCTACCGTTCTCTGTAGGATGGCAGGAATTAAAGGATCTATTTAGAAGTGCAGGTAGGGAAATCAATGAAGTTCGAGTCATTTTTCATATTTTTTATTATTTTGTTAACGTCGGATGTTATTGTTAAATAGGAAATATAATTCGAGCAGACATTCTCGTTGGTCCTGACCGACGACCTAAAGGCTCGGGAACTGTGTTATTTGAAACACCAGGGGATGCTTCTAATGCGATTTGTATGTTGTGGATTTGTATAGGTTTATAGGAAAAGAAGTAAAGAAAGAAGATATTGAACAGGGTGGTTGATATTTAGGATTATAATCTAAATGGTTGTTTTTATTTTAGCTATGTACGATGGGTACGAAATGAATGGTAGAAGGATTGAAGTCCGTGAGGTGGGGTGCTGTTTGTTTGGTTATTTTGGTTTAAAATTTGGGTGGAGAAAAAAAGAATAATTTTTACAATGGTGGTTATAACTTTGCTCAAATGAGCGTGTTTCTTCTACCTTTATTTTATTATTTTTTTTTGGGGGTGAGGGCGGTGTATAAATAATAATCAATTATGAGAGGCAAGTATTAAGCTGGTAGGTTTTCTTTCCCGAATACACTTTTTTTCTTTTATCATATATAACGTAGGATCGTTTTGCTGGAGGACCACCACCACCAAGATTTTCAGCACGTCCTCCTAGACCTTATGGAGGCGCTAATCATTTTCCTCATGGTGGAAATGCAGGATTTTATGGTGCACCACCAGCCCCTAATCCAACAGCATATCCAGGAGGTTATCAATCTATGGTTCCTGTTCCAGATCAATACGATGGATATGGCGGGTATAATGATTTCGGCGCTGCAGGTGCAGGGATGATGGATTATGCCGGTGGATTTGGTGGAGGTTACGGTGCGCCATACCCAGGAGCTGCAGGATATGACGGGTCGGCGGGTTTCTACCCTACACCTGGTGCAGCCGGTGGGGCGGCTGGAAATCAAATCTTTGTCAGAAATGTAAGGTTTAATAACAAAAAGGCGGTGAAATGAGTGTGTTTTGAGGTTAAATATGGGTCGTGGTTGTAATTGTATTTGGAATGGTATATTTAAAGTTTAATATTTTTTCTGCGCCAATGAAAAATTATATATGAACAATTTATTAATTGAAAAAAGATAGATTTGAAGGAAAGAGGGAAATGAGAAGAAGGATAGTGATAGTCGTTTTTCTTCCCAAGGAATTTATTTTAATCAGATATATTCAAAGTTAATTATTTATATTAAAAGAAAAAGTTTGGGATTAATAATATTGGCACCTTTTTTTTGTTGGGAAAATTAGCTACCGTTTACAACAACAAATCTCGATTTAAGAGAACTTTTCAAACACTGCGGTAAATATTCATTAATATTAAAATGACATTTCAATATAATTTATAATATTTATCTTTTTTTATTATATAAATTTTGATGATAATATAGGAAATGTAATTAGGGCCGAGATTTTAGAACAAAATGGAAGACCTAAAGGTGCCGGTATAGTTTCATTTGATTCTAATGAATCGGCTCGATTTGCTGTCGGTAAGATTATTTGATGACATACGCTTTGTATTTTGGATCAATCCTGTTCTAGTTATAGAGATTTTTTTTTTTTCCTTTTTTTTTTTATATAGAAAAATTTAGTGGATACACATATGGAGGTCGTATTATCGACGTGAATTTTGATCGATATGCATAAAGACGCGAGCTATCAGAGAAAAACAAAATGAATAAATTGCGACAAAATGAGATCATCAAGAGAGAAAAGACAGGTGAACTAAAACAAAAAGAAAAAAAAATAAGGCATTATTTGTTTTGAAGTTTGTATTATTATATATTTGAGGGCAAAATAATGCTTTATTTCTTTATTATTTGTCCCTTTTTTAACTCTAAATGCTTTTTATATGTACTTTTTATTCTTATTACCTGGGTAAATTATTTTTTTGTCATAATTTTTATTGGGGATACATATATATATATATATATATACAGACATAAATAAAAATTTTTAAATGCGAATGAAAATCTATTTATAAATTTCTGATCATCTGATAAATTTTGATAAATTATTTTTAATCAATCTTTTTTGGTTTTTGGTTTTTTTTTTTTAAAAAAAAATAAAATAAAATAAATAATAAATAAAAATGAATAAATTTTCAATGATATATCGTTCATTGCAAACTACAAATCGATTATTTGAATGGAAACCTAGTACACGTAAAGGGGTAGTAGGATTATATGAATTTTTTCAAGGAGGAGCCGAAAAACCAAATCTAGTACCTACAGTTAAAGAAATGACTACAGGTTTAAGATTTATTTTTTTAAAAAAAAAAAATTAAAAGAACTATGTCAGAAAGTTTCATTTTATTCAAAAAAGTTAATTAATTCGGATTTAATTGGTTGATTTTTTTTTTTTTTAGGACGAGCTTGGACAGCATCAGAATTAAGACGTAAATCGTTTGAAGATTTACATAAAATTTGGTATGTTTTACTTAAAGAACGTAACTTACTTGCTACGATGTGGTCGGAAGCAAAAAGATGGAACAAAACGTATGATCAATTATGGATTGAAGCATTCCGTGAAAGAACATTTAAGGTAATTACATATTTCATAACTTTAACTCGGCATACACATTTATTTATTCACTTATGTATGAATGTAGTGCCAAAAATCAATGGCACGAATTAAACATGTATTAAGTGAACGTAGAGTAGCCTATGAATACGCTATACGTAAGGATCCAAAATTATTTGAATTAGATAAAGCTCCTGAATCTCACTGGAGCTACAGACCACCTACGCAACAAGAAGATAATCGATCTTTAAGAAATAGCAGAATGAGTAACAGAAATAATAATTCAAGGTTGAGAAAAATGTAAATTATTTTTTTTTTTATTTTCAAAAAGACATATTTCGATTTAATTTATTTGTGGAAATTATGGATCTTTTAACCATTTCCTTTGAACATAAATTTGAATGAATAAATAAGCCAACTCCCTTGGTTAATAAATAATTATTACATTGTCACATCAAACCTTTCTAAAATTCTCGCTATTAAAAGTATTATAAAAGAGTATCCTTCAAAAAAAAAATTTTTTTTTTTTCTCTTTTAATCACTTCTAACAATCTCAGATATAATTTGTTCAGATAGGCATTATGCGTGCTTAATTTATGTAACAAGGCAAAGTGGCCAAGCACACTTTATCATTTGGTCCCAAGCTATAAACAAGGTACTCTTTTCATAATACAGCCTGTTATCATCATAACTTCTTTGATTGTAGAAGGATAAGAAATGAATTAAAAAATTTTTTGATGGTTTTTATGTGGATGAAAAATTTTTTTTGCGATTAGATTGATTAAATTTAGGATTGTGATTGGTAAAAATTTTGTAACAAAAAATTTTTATTAATTCAAAAAATAATAAAGTTTTGCTTATAAAAATTTATTTAGCATAAAAATTTTCTCGTGTATTTTTTTGGCTACGTCCCAAACTTGTATTTATTTATTGCGTGTAATAATAAAAACATTTTCTTGGCATTTTTAATAAGATAATTCCAGTCTTGTATAAAAATTTTCTATACAATCTTCGAAATTCGGTGCAGTGTATTGCAAATTAGAAAGTCCGGCAGTGAATTCTATCCAAGAGCATACGGTAATGTGAAATATCGAGAAAACGAAATATAAAGGTAAGAGTGAATCGGAGATATTGTTTATTTTTTACCTCTGATAATTTTTGCTCTGGAAATTTGCAATAGATCTGAAATATTAATATTTGAGCGGAATTGGTTTAAACAATAACAGATATAGTTAATTTACTTCGGAAATTATAGAAGCATATTAGATAGGCGCATAGATATTGAAAAAATTAGCATTAGGTGGTATTGAGAAGCGGGAGGGAACTCCCATTTTATGGGTTAGGCATCGAGATGTTTCCTCCCTTTGAACGTCCACCACTCAAATAGATTTTGTTAGTTTAGCACTGACAATTCATTTATAAGAGTAAATGTAGCAATTTTTGTTTTATTGATAAAAATGTTCCTTTATTCTCACTAAAAAATTGTTAATCAAGCAACGTTACTGAATATCTGAATCATAGATTGTAATTAGCCTTAATCCGTCTTGCATCTTTAGTCATCAACATAATTTCGTTTTTGATTATCAGAATCAGCACTTTCTCCATCAATATCAGACTTAGCAATTAATTTAGTATGTTGTTCTATTGCACTCTCTATGATCTGATCAAGGTCACATAGATTATTTTCCACAAATTCTTTATTGTAAGTATCTGGAAGTTTCCATCCGGGATACAACTTCTTATGTGCCTCAGAAACGGTAATTTTATATCCTTTGGATCGTTAAAATTCGATGTATGATTCACATAAACAACATTTCTTGGATACTGCTATAAATTCATTATGTTCCTTGCTTAATACATCGGTGTTGGTCAATATGTTCAACTCTGCGTGTAAATATATGTGATTAGTTGTTTCACGATCCAATTGTCTACCTGTGCCACCATATATCTTCTTCCTTGTTTCATCAATTTTTCTTGAAATCTTCGAGATTCTTTTGAATAGAAATAAACTTTGTGATAATATCATTCCATGAAGATATGGGTTGATCAATATGAATAGGATCCAATAAATGCAAGTTTATACAAGAAATTGGTGTTTTATACTTTTCTTTATGTGCACAATTAACGATATCCATCACAGATGCAGAATAGGATCCCACTTTTTTGATGTGTCCTAGGAATCTTTGCGGATAATTTTTGTTGTTTTTATTGTCTTTACAATACTAGCAACAAGCCACGGAAATTTGGTAAGTCTCATTTAGATTATTAACGTTAATTCTAGGAATTCTAGGAAAGATTTAATATGTGGTTCGTCTTTATTATCCTTTATATCTCTCTTAAGTTTGTCCAATTTACGTTTCAACTTAACAGAACAGTACTCCAATACATTAAAAAATAAAGCAGACACATTCTTTCTTTCAGCTGCTTGTACAAATGTCATGGGAACATCTTTAGATAAATTTTCATGAGTCCTTTAGTTTCGTCGATATATTTAACATCTCTATCAAGCCATCTACTTACTGTTCTTTGAAATGTAAACTCTACACTTTTTGGGTAAAATTTTCAAGTTGATCGCTACCACTTTACTATCTCTTGCTAATATCGTTGCCAGGTTACGAGAAAATTGGTCACTCTCTGACAAGCTAATTTCGCTTTTACTTGCTTCGTCGATGACAAATTTTACGCTTCTAGCAACACACACTTTACTATAAAATTCTGTAAATTGCGACATTGCTGATATTCTTTTTGCCATTCTTGCTTTTATTACCTGTTTATAATTTATCAGTTGTGGTTTTGCAAGCTAATGGATCATATTTTCGTGTAGATTTCTGGGGACCTTACTAACATTTATGGAATACAAACAGCATGAAATTTTGGCTGGGTCTTTACCAAGGTTAATGCTATGAACTGTTGATTTATTTTCGCGACACTGCATGTTCTGTGCATAACTGACGACCATTTTGGAATAACGCGTTAGTATATAGATAGTTTAGATGAACGAAACACTGGCAGGCATTAGTATAGAATCTTTATTTCATTTTGTAAAACAAGTTTATGTATTACCGAATCTTGTAATTTATTTTTAAATCAATAAATCAGTAATTCCGATGAGGATATTACCTCGTTTTTTTATCTATGCTAACGAACTTTTGAATTATTCCATCTTATATAAAAAATTATTATCAAATATGCAATTCATTGATTCATTAAGAGAATTGATTGCCAAGCTCTTGGCTGAGATTTTCAAGCTTAGGAAGGAGAATGCTAAGGTTTCTGAACTTAAAAAGGAGAATGCTGAGCTTAAGGATAAGAATACTAAGGTCCCTGATCTTAGAAGAAAGTTCGTTGAGCTTGAGGCTAAGAAAGCTGAGCTTAAGGTCAGGATTGCCAAACTTCTAAAACAGTTTGTGAAAGAGAATAAGAGGCATGATACTGAGAATACTAAACTCAAATCTAGAGTCAGGAGCTTGAGACTAGGCTGTGAATAGTGGAACAGAGTTCTGTAGTAGTGGATGGATAATCACAAAATGATAATTCTTCTAATAACAGTAATCTAACTTCAATTTCATAGTAGACCAGCCTGCCAAAGTACTTAATAATAATACAAAATTCAAGTCAATAAAGGAAAGAAAAATGGATACTTTCTTAAATGAGATATATAAGAAAAGTTAGCAATGAAATTGGGCAAAGAAATAGGAAAAAAAAATTATTGTATGAATCATCTACCAAAAACATATCTGAGAAAGTTCTAAAAGAACTCACCTCTTTTGTAATTCAGGACAAAAAATCTTAACTACAATAAGAAGAAAGAAGTAAAAATTATCATGCAAAATAGATTTGATTTTATTATAGATGGATTTGAGAAAAATTACATAATAAAAATTTTGTTGATAGATTGTGAGAAAAATAATTTTCAAAAAAAAAATAGAGTTTCAGAAGGCTAACAGAATTATTAAAATAAATATATTACAAAATATAAACTATTTATATAAAAATGCATATATTGCAGAAAATAAAAGAATAAAGGCTAATTAGACAAAAATTTTATGCTAGAGAAGTTTTATTATAGGAATGAATAAAAGTAAAAATAAAATTATGATCAATAAAAAGTGAGTACAAAAAAGGTCAAAGAACTAATTTACGATTTTATTCTTACATATAATCCTAATATTAAATGAAAAACTTTATATCAATATATCAATAAAACTAGAAAGGTTTATGAATTTACTAAAAAAATAGGAATTGATAAAATTATGTATATCAAAATATGTAATGTAAATTCTATTGCAAAATTATTTGATAATTAAATTTAAACTATTATTAATTATTTCTTCAAAAATCTCAATACTGAATTATTAAATGATTAGAATAACTCTATTATCGATTCTTTAGATGAACTACCAAAAGTTAAAAGATCCAAAAGGAGAAGGTAAGTACATATATTGAATCTGATTTTTCTAGCTTAAAAATCAATCAGATAGATATATCAAAGATGTAAATAAAACCTTTAATTTCAGTTAAAGATTATTAAGATATATATTTTGATAAGAAATTAATTATGATTTTAACACCTCAGTTAATGAAAGAAATGAATGAAGAGATTACTTCACAATTAGTTAAGATAGACGATGACTCTGATTTTAATGAATCAATAGACTCAAATTATCTGATTTATAATATTTTCTTATGTAAATTTCTAATTTATCAAATATTTTACTAATTAAATTTTAAATGATTCTAGCTAAGTCAAATATCTATAATGATAGTAGTTATAATAATGATTCTAAAAAAAATATTAAATAAATCAGATGATAATGAATATAATAGATATAATGAATACAATAGATATGATAGAGGTTATTATTATTATAATAGAAGATACAAAAGAAGTCTTACCAATGATAAGTCTTATTATTTTTTTGATAATCATTTAGAAAAATTATTAGATAGAATGTATACTTACATAAACTAAATTACTGAATTATTTATTTCTTTTTTCAAATACTTAGATATCATATGTAGTAAAATGTTATTAGTTCATATAAATTATATTTGCAGAATATGTTATATATAATAATACATTATTATTTTTTGTAGTCATTATTTTTAGAATATTTATTAATAATCCTAGTCAAGAAATTTTTTTATATTATCTTTTATCATATATTTTTTCAAAAGTTCTGATATATTTTATTTTACTTATTGTAATTTTAAATTATTAATAAAAACATATTTCTGATTTTGCAAATCATAAAATAAGATATTATTAAAAAGAATCAAAAATGAAAATTAATGATTAGAATT